CTACCTCCGTCCCAAATTGATTTGCAAAATTAACCTTTATTGGTCAAACTATTTCTTTTTATTCACTTAATTAGGATGTCAATTTTTAATTATATTATAATTTGGCCTTACAAAAAAAGTATATTCTAATTTGGATTTTGCAACTTTAAAGAGATTTTGAAGTACTTTCTTCTTCTTCATTACCCCGGTGCCGCAAAGGCTCCCACCTACGGTGGGGTAAGGGGGGTCGGATGTACGCAGCCTTACCCTTGTACGAAAGTACAGATAGACTGTTTCTGCATCGAAAATTGCATAGACTGACTGCTGCTTCATAATAAAGAAGCGCAGACAGTTTAGTGAGCCATTTTGCTTTATTCAATCACATTCCCAAGCCAAAAAAGACCGGTCTTTGGCTCCATTGCAAATGATGGAAAAAAGTGATTTCTAAATATTGAAATTTTAATTATTAAAAAATTATATTAATTATCAATATGGAGGACTTAACATTAATAGTTAACTAGACAAATCAATTTGGGACGGATGGAGTAATTAATAAATTTCAGATAAACTATAGTAGTACAAATTTAAATAATTAAACCATGGATGGCATCCAAAACAACAACAAGGGAGGAGGCAGTGCAGTCGATTGCACAGGGGGTGGCAGAGCCACAACTCAGGCGGCGCGGGAGCTATACGGCGAGGAGGGTGAACCTTCAGTGGTGACCAGCGAAAAAGGTGTAGAAAATCTGAGCAATCAATATGGTGGACTGGGGTGGGGAGTACGGAGGACGAACTGCTGTTGGATGATGAGGATACTGAGGAACTCGACCTCGAGGCAGCGAGCAAGGAGGCGGAGATCTTCCCTGTGGTCGGCACAATTCTTACTGATAAAGTGGTGAAATTTCAATTTTTTTTGCGACCTGATGGCGTCTCTTTGGCGTCCTGGAAAAGGCGTGCTGATTCAGGAGATCGGAGAAAAGAGGTATCCTTTTACTTTTTATCACAAAATTGATATGAACTGAATGTTAGATAATGGACCGTGGTTGTTTGATCAAAACCCGCTAGTGTTGAAAGCTATTAACATGCCTCATAAAATACCCCTAGATACGGCTGATTTTTGGGTTCAGATCCACACTATTCCTTATGGATTCTCAAACCTGGGTTACGCTCGTAAAATTGGGAACCATCTGGGGAAATTTATTTCATGGTATGATAAACAGTTTAATGAAAAGTGGGTAACCTACATGAGGGCTAGGGTGATGCTGAATGTGAGGAAACCCTTAAAGGTGGGTACTACGTTGAGAAAAAGTAAAGAGGAAGGATACTGGGTGGATTTCAAATATGAGAAACTTCCTGGTTTCTGCTTTGCCTGCGGCGTCATTGGACATGCTGAGAAATTCAGCCCATCACTGGACTCCCTAGAGATTTATTTTCATGAGAGGGTGTAGGATTACTATCAAGGAAGCGACTTTTAGAAGGTGGGCCAAGATCTACAAACAACAAAGCAAAAGCTTCAAGACTTAGAGCATGAAGTCAAGGACGAGGTGAAGCCTGATCTGATGGACATCCATAACTACATCAATGCATTGTCCATTAAGGTCTGTGGCCTGGATCCAGCTTGGAGACATCAAGAAGAACCTGACTCTGATCTAGAAATAGAAGCACTCTTCAAGGAAGGCGAGACCCCTGCTGATGATGCCAAAAAGGGGGAAAGGACAACACCGGCAGGTCCCTCATCATCAAGATCACTAGCAGCCAGAAAAGCAGCAGAGACAAGAAGGAAGAACAAACTCTACAGGGAAGAAATGGAAATCCGAAAAAGAAAAGAAGAAGAAGCCATAGCAAAAGAAGAAGCCAGGAAGAAATTAGAAGAAAACAACAAGAGTAGATTTGATCAAAAGTCCGAAAGTGACTAAAAACTATTGTACTTTAGAGTTTAGACCAATGTACAAAAATCTTATTGAAAATCAATAAAAATATTTGTTTCCTGTGTTGTATAATTTTGGCATCATCAAAAGGGGGAATTGTTAGTACCCAATTTTAATAGATTTTAATGATGCCACTATACTTTGCACCTGTACATTCTATCTCATGTAATTCGAGTATCAGTGTTTAAATTCAAATCATAAGTGACAAATAAATGTACAATTTTTGAGACTAATAAAAATTATACTGGAAATTTTAAATGCAATAAGGTAATTTTTTTTACCTTAATAGGATATTTAAATCCTACCAGTATAAATTTAATTGCTCACAAAAATTAAACTGTCACAAAAATAAGGGTGCATAGGTACGAAAAATTATATACATTGAATGTATATGATTGAAGATAAAACTTGACTGGCAGTAAATGCTGGATCAAGTACATGGGTCCAGAACGTGGGGAGCTCACAAATGATCTTGAAAGTGATCCTTCAACACATGAAGACAAAAGTACAAACTCGTACTAACGTCAAGGATTAAATCATCCTAACAAACGGATGAAATTAATCAACAGGAGAAGCCTATAAATATAGGCCGAAACGAAAATTTCTAACCAAGCAATTGAGCATCCTAAGTAAAGAAAAATTTCCATTGTGCATATACGAGCTATCTAGCAAAAGAGAAAGCGTTGGTCTATCTTTACTCTCTGCTTGGACTCATGCTTCACTAAACTTTCGAGTTACAAATCTTCATTGCTAAATTCTGGAAGTTTAGTTCCTAGTTGGAGGTTAGAACTTTCTTGTAACAAATCACAAAAATATTGTTGTAAACACTTAGAAAGATTGTGTTATCAAGTCCTAAGTGTGGATAGATAGATAGAGTACCTTTTGATTGATCCCCACTAGATCAATTGAGAAAATTCTAAGGATTGAGTAACTTGGAGTGTTGTTGTACTCCTTGTGAAACACCTTCAATCTAGATTTGAGTGTTGTAAAGGCTAGATTCGCATTAAGTGTATTGGGCTTAATACTTTAGTGGAAATCCATCTGAAAGAGGGTGGAACTGGACGTAGGAGGATTACACCACCTCTGAACTAGGATATACTGTGTGTTGATTTACTTTCATTCAACAAAGCACACACCCAACACTTCTCATAAAAGGATTGTAGTTTGCCAGCAGTATCCTAAGCAGTAGTCTTAATTGATCTTACTGTTTATCCTACTGCTTAATTACTTACTTTCTTTGAGAAAACTTTCTCACAAGGGCCCTGTAACATCACTATTAAAAAGTCTGTTCTATCAGATCTCAGGAATTCTTCTCTCAAGTTTAGTAGTTGCCTCAGCAGTTCCCTGGTGACCACCCAACTGCTAAGCACACTGCTCTTACACATTTATCTGTTTTGAACATCTCAATGTCACAAGATCTTCATAACATCATTACCAAGAAGTTTGTTCAAACTGATCTCCGAAAATAAGCCTGTAACTCAGCAGGTGCCTCAGCAGTTCCATGGTGATCACCCAACTGCTGAGACCACTGCTCTCGTAAACTTTCACTTATACTCACCTCAGCACATTTCCAGAAAGCTCTCATCATTCTAAGCAACAATCTATCTTCACTTTCATCATACACTAAATATTTCCTCATCAGTTGCCTCTGCAGTTCACTGCCATCCAGCCAATTGCGGCCAAGGCAATTGCTCACTATATAAGTCCAAACATCACTCAAGCTAGAAAGTTGTCACACTGATCATATAGAGGTTAAAGACTTCCGCTGTGTATCTATAAATCTCCCAAAAGATTATAGGTTAAACTCATCTAGAAAAATTCGAAGAACAGATCGAGAAAACAAAGCACAGATTCAGATTCTACTCGTTGAGAAGATGAAAATACATATAAGGAACTTACAATTTGAAGCTAAAATGAAGAAGATATGAAGATTTCAAGTTTCTCTCTCCCAAAAACCCTTGGAGCTGCGGAAATGGAGGAAGAAAGGAGACTTTTCGAACTGATTTAGGGTTAGAAGTGGTGTGTTTGAGTTCAACAAAAATCGGGCTATTTATAGCACAAAAAATCTCGTAGGCGGTCTGGAGGGCGGCCGCCATTCGGCTTGAATCGGCTGTCTGCTGTCTTTTCACCAACAGGGTCAACGCGGCAACGTCGCTTCGCCGCAGGCAGTCACGGAAGGCGGCCGCCTGCCGTTTCTGTCTGGCCGCCTGCCGTCTTTTCGCACCGACGATCGTTGGCTTGGTCGTCTTGTGCCGTAGGCGGTCACCGAGGGCGGCCGCCCTTCGTTGAGTGTCGGCAGCCTTCGGTCTTTTCCGGTCCGGGTCAAAGTCAAAAAATTGACTTTCCAAAAATATCGGTAGGCGGCGTGGAGGGCAGTCAGATCTGGCCACCTGTGAGTTAAATTGACGGGTTTGTTCTGTATTTTCTGCTCTTCAAATTTCCCTTCTGGACCACTTTGATATTCTGCTTCCTTCTTTAGATATGGATTTATTTGTTAATCAAATTGACTCATTTTGTGCTCAATTGGCCCGAAATTTCACCAAACTTATTATGACTGTTGTTTTCACCTGAATTCATGAAACTTGAACCAAAATATCCAAAACGTGCCTTGTTTTTCTATTTTCTATACAAAAATCGCTTAATTTTGATAAGAAAAATAAGTACAAAAATGGACTTATCAGCAGTCCAGTCACAAGCTCTGACTCCTCTAGAGCAACTGGATGAAGACTTTGCAAGAGTCAAAGCTTGGAGAAATTGGAAGCTCTCGCGCATACTCAAGCAAGCCGAGACCTTATCAAGCTACCTCGAAGAGGAAGATTTTGCATCGGAGTGGCTAGGCAATGAAGACCTTGCAGTTGCAACAAAACTTCATTACATCAACCACTACTAGAAAACTGCCTTATAGTGACACTTCGTTAGTGACACTAATTGATTTAGTGTCAAAATCTGACGACATAACTGAAAGTTTACACATAAGTATCACTAATTTCTGACACAATAACATCACCATTTAATAGTGACACTCAAGGTGAAAAAACAGGGTCATATTCATAATTTGTTAAAATATTTTTTTTGAAATGAGGTTTATTTTATAAATTTTAACCCTAACCCTTAACCTAGTGGAGAGCAGCTCACTCTCATCACTCTCAACCTCAGAAGCTCCTTCTTCCTCTGAGCTTTGTCGAGTGTGCATCTCCCGACGCCTGTGCAGTATTCTGATGCCGCTGGTGGAGGGGCTCCGGATAGAGGCCGGCACTTCGCGGCCAAGCGTTGCAGCGGCGGTAAGAGATTCCAACCCCGACCAACGTCTGCAATTTCAACCAAACTCATTCTCCGACGTCGATTTACACAAAATCGAAGCCAAGCACGGGCAGTTCAAAGGTTTCCCGACTGTCAACTTCTCCGATTCGGATACTCGGGTGGGACACCAAGTTGTCCTGGTCGATCGTCTTAACAAAGGAGCATTTTGATGGGGAGGTTGTGGGGAAACAGTTGCAATCGAACACTACACGCTCGGAACCGGGTTTAGCTCGGCCAAAATGTCAGAAGATGAAATGGACACACTGAGGCGTCTGGAGGAGGAGAACCACAAGTCCATGGAGTTTGTGAAAGGATGAGATGGAGGTTCAGAGACATTGCGACAATGATGAAGCAGGTGATTGCTTATCATACATTTCATGCTTCTTTTGTTACTGAATTACTGTGGGAGACTTTACCTATTCTTTATTTTGAATCCCTTTGGGAATTTATAGCTAGATGAATGTAGTTTCTCCTGGAACAGTATTTGAATAAGTTGCTTCTAGTAAAGAATGAAATATATCGATTCCTAGATGCATTTATTTGACGTAGGTTATGGAACCAGGGGCAATGGGATCATATTTGAAGGATTCTAAGAAAACTGAAATGTACAAGAAGCACAAGGAGAATCCAGGGGTGTACACAATCGAGAAGCTAGCCAAAAAATACAGGATCATGAGCCAGAGGGTGCACACAATTCTGTATTTGAAAGGGCTTGAGGAGGAGGAGGAGAAGAAGTTGGGACACCCTATTCATAGCACTCTTGAAACCTTTATTGATAATAACCCGGAGTAAGTTCAAATTGGTGGCATTCTGCATAATTTAATTTTATTTCAGTTGGTTTTAAATTATAAATGTCTCAGTGGGAGGAACTAGAAGTTATATTTTGATATATGAAGGAATTAAAGATGCCCTCTTAAACTTAATGCAGTATCTTAATGTTATGAGCAGCATCCATATCATTCTATCATCTCCTTAATTAATTATGGGGAAGAGAGGCGTACATATTCAGTTTCTGAATGAATAAAATGTTTTATTGGGTTGCTAATTTGAGGAAAATTCTCTACCGGATTGCTATGACTAGAAAGTGTTTGATATTATTCTTGAGAAGTAACTCTTCTCAGTTTTCTTGGTTTTTTGATTTTCTTGATGAACATTTTATTTTGCTAGACTATAAATAGACAATAATATTCTTACTTGATAGGATTAAATGCTTCAATAAGATTGTAAATAACCAATATTACCACGTGCAGGGGACACAAGCTGATATCTCATTCGTGTTCAATTCAATTTTGAATATGTGCTCATAGCTGTGCTGGTGAGGTCTCCTTGGCCTCCGCTTTAGGCGCCTCTACCATTGGTACAACTATTTCCCTCTTCTTAGTCTATCCTAAAAGATGGTGAATTGTCATGTCTGTAAAGTTTTTGATGAAATGTCTTATAGAATAGATAATCTGGAGTATGCTTAAAATATGAGTGACCCTAAACCAAATATTTGCATTTGGCTTTCTAATACATGCATTGTGCTTTTACAATATACTACGTATATAAGTAAACTGGATTATCAAAATTTTATTAAAGTGAATAAATGAACCTAGAGTCGATTGACTGCTGACTAAACCGACCAACAAAACCCTGATTTGTATTGCTTTATGTTTTTGCTCTTGATTATATCAAATTTCTGTTACAGGCTTGCAAGGAAATATCAGTTGCAACAAGGGATAATTTCAAATTCCTGTTGTCATCCGGCTATAACTGAATACTATTTTGTGGTAAGTTCAAGAAGCTTTTTACATGGATCATGGCTCTAAAGTTTAGTATAAATCATTTCATAAGTTGATTTCACATCTTCCTTCAATCAATGAAAAATACTTCAGTCCTCTAATAAACCATTTAATTTACTTGTTCAACAAACAGGGGTGCAGACAAAACATGTTTTATAAAACTTCTTTTACTCTTTCATTTTGGATTTCGTACGATTCAATGGCATCTTGTAATCCTTAAAATATGATATATCAGGTTTCCAAGTTTCAATTTCAAAAAGAATGTCTGCTTTCTAATGATCACTTTTGTCTTGATATTTCCTATATAATTTTCAGGAAAAAGTTATAGGTTTGGATGACTTGCTAAAGGACTACTACAGGGAGAACGTCACCATTGATGAGAAGGTTTAGAAACGTGCAAAGGTCCAAAAAGTCTATGATTCTAATTTTGATAATGACGTTAATGCCAGAGAAGGTAAGTTTCATTACTGTGTTAACGAACTCCAAGAAAAGGCAAAAACCTTTCCTTCAAACATGTGTTTTTATGTTTCATATATGGAGTAACTTCTTTTACACTTCTATACTTATTTTCTCCCTCCCTGCCTTATAGATGAATCAAATAAAGGCTGATGATGAGATGCCTATGAGGGGTTTTCAAGTATTTGATTCTCAGGTAACTCATGGGCAGGATATTGACACTGATAACGTGAATCATTTTATTATAATGCATTTAAATGTAACACTTGATTAGTATAACTATATATGTGTGTGTGTGTCTTCCATATTATTTCCAGAAAACTTTCCCAGAACTGGATTTCCCTGACCTAAGGTAGTGTAGCTATTTGCATTCTTTCTTGAATAGTGAGCTTAATTCGATTGTTGAACTCAAAATGGAGGAAGGTCTGAGTTTGTGATTTTATTTTATTTAGAACAAGTCCCCTTTTTTCCTCCCCGTAAACAATAAGAGTACATACACTGAAAATGGCACTTGTTCATATATGATGTCTGACGACAAATGTTTCTTGAAGGCTTGCTTCTACATGCGTGGCTTTTGAAGCTGATCAAATCTCAGGGCTGCCTTGAAGAAACCATGGGGAAAAGGGAGCACGTGTTGTTGATTACTTCCATAAGAATGCCTTTGTCGGGGCTTGTCACTTAAAGATTGTTTTATGTCCTATAGACCATGTTTTATCTCAATTCTAGCTATAATTGTAACTTGTTTTGTTTATTGAGTTGTACTTAATTACATTTATGATTTATGGGGTATGCCCCCTATGAATCATGTACATTCATATGAAATCTTGATATATAAATAAAATGTTTGAGATTTTGGTTAATGTTAATGTTTTGGTTTGTTTGTATTAATATATATACTAATATAAAAAATATATATACTAATGAATCATGTACATTGACACTTTTTTAGTGTCATATAAACTTTTAGTGACACTAATTTGGTGTCACTGTAAGGTATTTTTCTAGTAATGTATGTATATATCACAAAAAAACATGATGCATTGGTATCACAAAAATCCTTGTTATGTATATATCACAATTCTCTATGATGTTTATTATATGTCATAATTTTGTGACACAAAAGTGACTTGTTAACGGTGACACTAAATTTTGTGTCACTTGCCCCGCTTTTCTGTGACACTTTTTGAGTGTCATTAAATCGTTTAGTGACACTAATTTAATGTCACTATAAGCCATTTTTTTACTAGTGAACCAAATCTACAGCAACAGAAGGAGCCAACTGCTAGGCAAGTCATCCATTCAAAATGATGACTCAGATGATCTGGATGATGATGAGGATGATGCTGACAATGCTCCTAAGGGACCACCTAGCTCAAGAGGTAAACAAATCATCCACTCCTCCTCCTCTAGTGATAAGGAACTCAGGAGAGTTTTTGAAAGATCAAGGTTGGAAACTCAAGGAGGATGAGAATCATCTAAAGCACCTCAAGAGCAGTTGACTGCCAACCTCCAGCAGGTAGCTCAACTTCTTGATCTCAATATGGAACCCCATCACGAGGAAGAAATCCTTGAGGAGCAGCCTACAACATCTAATGGCATCAAGGAGCAAATTCTCAACGATGGTGCAAAAAACACCCCTACAATGGTAGAAGTATTCATCCAAGAAAGAAGGGCAACCATCAAGTTCATTAGCAACGTTGAGGTTAGGCTTCACAAAAGATTGATTAAAATGTAAAAGCATTTTGACAAACTACCAGAGATGAGGTTCGCAGAAGTCCACTGCCACCTCAAAAGCAACCTAATGATCTAGCATGTGTTCAATTCAGAACAAAAAGCCCAACTCAACATTCAACTCTCTCAGCAGCCAGCTCAAATTGAAGCCATTCACAAAGAGCTTGCAGATCAATGGGCAAAGGACAGAGAGTTGGAAAACTAGATCCAAGCCTATATCAGGCAACCGCGGGTATAAGAGCAAGCAAGTGCCTCTCAACTAGCTGCAGAGCCCTTAGCTCAGATATCATCCCTCCCTTCTCTTCCTCTTAATCTTGAACATGCTCTTCTAAAGATACAGGAGCACGAAGAATACACCCAAAAGCTGAAAACCGGAGAGTTCCCTGCTATATTCAAGCTCTCCCAAAAGTTCGTAGAGAAGCAGCAGGCCCATGCTCAAGCCATTAGACAAATACCAATGGACGTTGCTAACAACTTGAAGGTTCTACAAAAGGCAACTCAAGAAACCTTTTGGAAGCAAGGAAGCGACTTTTAGAAGGTGGGCCAAGATCTACAAACAACAAAGCAAAAGCTTCAAGACTTAGAGCATGAAGTCAAGGACGAGGTGAAGCCTGATCTGATGGACATCCATAACTACATCAAGGCATTGTCCATTAAGGTCTGTGGCCTGGATCCAGCTAGGAGACATCAAGAAGAACCTAACTCTGATCTAGAAATAGAAGCACTCTTCAAGGAAGGCGAGACCCCTACTGATGATGCCAAAAGGGGGAAAGGACAACATCGGCAGGTCCTTCATCATCAAGATCACTAACAGCCAGAAAAGCAGCAGAGACAAGAAGGAAGAACAAACTCTACAGGGAAGAAATGGAAATCCGAAAAAGAAAAGAAGAAGAAGCCAGAGCAAAAGAAGAAGCCAAGAAGAAATTAGAAGAAAACAACAAGAGTAGATTTGATCAAAAGTCCGAAAGTGACTAAAAACTATTGTACTTTAGAGTTTAGACCAATGTACAAAAATCTTATTGAAAATCAATGAAAATATTTGTTTCTTGTGTTGTATAGTTTTGGCATCATCAAAAAAGGGGAATTGTTAGTACCCAATTTTAATAGATTTTAATAATGCCACTATACTTTGCACCTGTACATTCTGTCTCATGTAATTCGAGTATCAGTGTTTAAATTCAAATCATAAGTGACAAATAAATGTACAATTTTTGAGACTAATAAAAATTATACTGGAAATTTAAAATGCAATAAGGTAATTTTTTTTACCTTAATAGGATATTTAAATCCCACCAGTATAAATTTAATTGCTCACAAAAATTAAACTGTCACAAAAATAAGGGTGCATAGGTACGAAAAATTATATACATTGAATGTATATGATTGAAGATAAAACTTGACTGGTAGTAAATGCTGGATCAAGTACATGGGTCCAGAACGTGGGGAGCTCACAAATGATCTTGAAAGTGATCCTTCAACACATGAAGACAAAATTACAAACTCGTACTAACGTCAAGGCTTAAATCATCCTAACAAACGGATGAAATTAATCAACATGAGAAGCCTATAAATATAGGCCGAAATGAAAGTTTCTAACCAAGCAATTGAGCATCCTAAGTAAAGAAAAATTTCCATTGTGCATATACGAGCTATCTAGCAAAAGAGAAAGCGTTGGTCTAACTTTACTCTCTGCTTGGACTCATGCTTCACTAAACTTTCGAGTTACAAATCTTCATTGCTAAATTCTGGAAGTTTAGTTCATAGTTGGAGGTTAGAACTTTCTTGTAACAAATCATAAAAATATTGTTGTAAACATTTAGAAGGATTGTGTTATCAAGTCCTAAGTGTGGATAGATAGATAGAGTACCTTTTGATTGATCCCCACTGGATCAATTGATAAAATTCTAAGGATTGAGTAACTTGGAGTGATGTTGTACTCCTTGTGAAACACCTTCAATCTAGGTCTGAGTGTTGTAAAGGCTAGATTCGCATAAAGTTTATTGGGCTTAATACTTTAGTGGAAATCCATCTGAAAGAGGGTGGAACTAGACGTAGGAGGATTACACCACCTCTGAACCAGGATATACTGTGTGTTGATTTACTTTCATTCAACAAAGCACACACCCAACACTTCTCATAAAAGGATTGTAGTTTGCGAGTAGTATCCTAAGCAGTAGTCTTAATTGATCTTACTGTTTATCCTACTGCTTAATTACTTACTTTCTTTGAGACAACTTTCTCACAAGGGCCCTGTAACATCACTATTAAAAAGTCTGTTCTATCAGATCTCAGGAATTCTTCTCTCAAGTTTAGCAGTTGCCTCAGCAGTTCCCTGGTGACCACCCAACTGCTAAGCACACTGCTCTTACACATTTATCTCTTTTGAACATCTCAACGTCACAAGATCTTCATAACATCATTACCAAGAAGTTTGTTCAAACTGGTCTCTGAAAATAAGCCTGTAACTCAGCAGGTGCCTCAGCAGTTCCATGGTGATCACCCAACTGCTGAGACCACTGCTCTCGTAAACTTTCACTTATACTCACCTCAGCACATTCCCATAAAGCTCTCATCATTCTAAGCAACAATCTATCTTCACTTTCATCATACACTAAATATTTCCTCATCAGTTGCCTCCACAGTTCACTGCCATCCAGCCAACTGCGGCCAAGCCAATTGCTCACTATATAAGATCAAACATCACCCAAGCTAGAAAGTTGTCACACTGATCATATAGAGGTTAAAGACTTCCGCTGTGTATCTATAAATCTCTCAAAAGATTATAGGTTAAACTCATCTAGAAAAAAAAGTTTTTAAAGTTGAAAAAGCTTTAAAAGTCTATTCACCCCCTCTAGACTTTTACCTCTATCAGGGACCATCATTAATTCAGCTATAAATTCATTAGATGCGGTCAGCATGATAATTTATAATATGACTCTAGTAAATTTGGTGTATGTTATATATATCATATATGTGTGTGCAGGGGCGGACCCAGGAAATATATATTGCAGGGGTCGTAGACCAGTAACGTATTAAGATTTTTTCCACTGATGACCAATTTACACTAGAATTTAGTCACATATTTCACAAATAGCAATTCACATTATTCATATTATTTCTCTAGACTTAGTTTAAGTTTTAAATGTACAAGTATGTATAAAAAGAAGATCAATTTATATTACTTGCATGCAAAGATGTAATTGTATACAATATTTGATAAAACTATCTAAATAGAAGTTAAACTAAATTACATAATTCAGTGAAATTTGTATCCTTTTATTCTTTTAATAGGATTTATAGGGAACAAAACGTTCTTAATCTTATTTTAGTTTTTGCATATGTTTAACTCTTATTTTGAGCAAATTCCTATAAACTTTTAGGTTATATATAGGGGTAGGGTTGGGATTGAGGGGGGCAACTGTCCCCTTTACCTCCACGTACAATGGATACGCCCCTAGTCGTAGTTAAAACAAAACCATTGTAGAAGTTCATTATTATAATTTTTTTATATACTACTCCGTTGTATACAAAATGAATCATTAAACAAAAAATTATTGAAGAGACAAATATATGATTACAAAAGAGTAAAGTTAATACCTAAAAATTGTGTCGTGCATTCCTTCAAATAGATAAATTCTTAAATTGCAGCTTTTGAGTCAAAAGCTTATGATAATTGGACTTGCCCTCAAATTTTTAAAATTTTTGTTTAAAAGAATACACAATCATTCATAGTAAATAGATTCATATAGACTAAAAACATATCACATTTTAACTTATAATTTACATTTTTATTTCTTTCATTTTTTAACCGTAGTAAATATTTAATTAAAATTTGGAAAAGTAGTTATTACATTTATTTATATTTTGGGGGGCCAATTTTGTTTTGGGGGAATTATATTTTTTCCATATATACAATGGAAAAAATATTTTTCTTGGGGGGCGTGGCCACCTGCGTCTCTACTGCGGTGCACCCATGTGTGTGCATTGGTGCATGTAGGATGTGTTTG